TCTGGCCATTGTGACCATCTGGGGAGTGAACCAGCAGATAGAAGATCTTTCTCTGTGTCTCTTCTCCCTGTAAATCTGCCTTTCCATTAAAAATAAATAAATATTTTTAAAAAGGTATCTGGCAGATGGGTAATGTGCAGGATATGCTAACTTGCTGGCATTGTTTCTTTGCTCATTGTCTAACACCTCATCAGAGGGTTGCCCCTGGCAAGAGTATGCAGCTTGCCTGTCCTCGCCCTCTGCTTCCTCCTAGGGCATAGCAATTAGGAAAGCTCAGTGATCTCACCCTGGGTGCAGAGCCCCCATTGACTCCAGATATTCAGCCAGGACCACAAACACAGTGAAGGCCCAGACCATTTGACCTGTCTGTTGCTCTTGACTTCCAATTTGGAAGCCTCTCTCTGCTCAGCTCCATCAGCTTCCATCACTGGCTAGAGACTGGGTCCTGGAGAACCCATCTGCTTCTGCCACTCAGCATTCATTCAGTGCCCAGCCAGGCACCTGTGCTGGTCATTCTTCCATGTCTACCCCAGCTGAAGCTCACAGATTCCCCACCTCACCATCCAGCTTTGCAGGGATGTTGCCCTATAGGCTGGGCCCCCTCCCTTACTGCATACCTCCCCTCTGCCTTGCATCCAAAGCAGGGGTTGGCCAACCCTAGCACATGGACCTCAGCCCACTGTCCATTTTTTTCCAATGAAAATATTACACCAAAGCCTTGAGGTCCTGTGAATGCCTACTCTGCAGTCCTTTATAAAGACTGCTGGCTCATGATGTGGAGGAACCTGAGTTAGCTTTGTAGTGCTCAAGTTTTCCCTCCCTCAACATTCAGTGGCTCCCCACTCCCAGCTTAATATTTCAGTCTCTCAAGTGTCAGTCCCCAGTCCACTCCTCCCACATTGGTCTCCATTGCGTCTCACAATACTCCCGGTTCCCAAGCACTACATGCTTGCCACGCTTGCTCATCTCAGGGTCTTGGTGGACACCGTTGCCCCCATGTCTGTCTTCACACCACTCTTGAACCTGACCCTGTCAGTGACCATCTGTCCTTCCATGTCTCCCACAAGGGCCACCACTCTTTAGGGTTCTTTCCTCACCACCCAACTAGAAGCTCTCTCCCTGAGCCCATGTCCCCTGCCCTGTGCTCTCTGTCCACCTTCATGATCCTGATCATGTCACACTGGGCTGTCCCAGATCTCATCTTACCCTAGGCCCCATCCCACAATTCATTCTTTCTTTCCTTTTTTTTAAAAAAGATTTATTTATTTTGATTGGAAAGGCAGATGTACAGAGAGGAAAAGAGACAGAGAGGAAGACATTCTGTCCGATGGTTTACTCCCCAAATGACTGCAACAGCTGGAGCTGAGCCAATCCGAAGCCAGGAGCCAGGAGCTTCTTCCGGGACTCCCATGTGAGTGCCGGGTCCCAAGGCTTTGGGCTGTCCCTGACTGCTTTCCTAGGCCACAAGTAGGGAGCTGGATGGGAAGTGGAGCTGCCAGGATTAGAACCAGTGACCATATGGGATCCTGGACTTTAACTACTATGCTATCGTGCCGGGCCCATCCCAGCATAATGAACTTCCTAAGCAGGTGACCCTGGCTAGCAACCTAGGGGGACACAGAAAACCAGGGTTCCAAAAAAATAGTCAGCAGATTTGCTTTGGCCAAATGAAATTTTACATGCCTTGATTTAATTTTTCTTTTCTTGTGAGTAATCAACAGAAATCACTGATTGGGCCTGGCATCACGGCAGAACACGTTAAGATGCAACCTGCAGCACCAGCATCCCATATGGGTGTTTGTTCTAGTAACAGCTGCTCCAGTTCCCTTCCAGCTCCCTGCTACTATGCAGTAGAAGATGACCCAAGTCCTTGGACCCTTGCCCCCCCATGGGAGACCCCACTGAAGCTCTTGGTTCCTAGTTTCAGCCTGGACCAGCTCCAGCTATTTGGGGTGTGAGCCAGCATGTGGAAGATCTTTCTATCTCTCCCCCTCTCTCTGTGACTCCAGCTTTAAAACTTTATATATACATATACATATAAAATTATATATATACACACACATACACATAATCACATACATATATATGTGTTAAAGAAATCACTGATTTTTTTAAAAGCAACTAACAGCAATTTCCCCTTTTTTTCACCAATTTGGCAATGGAATTGTTTATATCTGCCCCTTTCTGCCACAAAGAGCTAAAAGATGTGCCTTTAAAAATTCAGCTACTGCAGACAATAGGATTAGCCAAGTGTTGTTCTGGCTAAGCTCTTGTTCATTTCATCCACTCTGCCATTTTAGAGTGCATTCCCCTGTGATATGGGCTTTTATTATAAATACCCTTAAAGTCGCGTTGGGCCCTCAGGGAGACTCACTTTAAATAAGTCAACCCTTCCTATTCACTTTGATCAAAGAAGGAGAATTCTTGTCTTTTTCATTTGCAAAACCTCTTTATGCAGAATGTTAGAACAGCAAGCTCCAGTGCAAAGTTCAAAGGCCAGTTAGGAACCAGCTGAACTTGGCCAGCTTTGGACCTGTTGGAGCTTCTCACTAGCAACACAGGGACATCACCAGTCACTTCACACAGTTATTGGAACATTAAATAAGACAGTACAGCACAAGTACCTGGGAGGCACCTGGCAAGTGGCAAACCAAATGCACCCCTCAGGGCAGCCGCCTGGGATGCCTGCTTCCTGGATCTGAGCGTCTGGCTTTAGTCCTGCCTCCATCCCAATTCCAGCTGCCTGCTAAGGCACATCTTGAGAAGCAGCAGGTGGAAGTCACAGGGTCATTCCCAATCCACGGAGACCTGGATTGAGTCTTGTTTCCTGGCTTTGGCCTGGCCCAGCACTGGCTGCTCTTTGGGAGTGATAGTGTGGATGGGAGATCTCTGTTTCTCTGCTTGTCAAATAAAAACAATAAATGCTTAAGATAAATCCACATCTTCCCTTGCTCACTGGTGTGCCACCTGTAACCAGGATTCGTTCAGCTTCTCCTAAGCCAGTCGGAGGTCAGCATTGGATGGGCATTTGGAATAGCTCTGGGAAGGTGACAGAGCGAGCCCTGAGCCATGTCTGTGCACTGTGTGTGCACCTGCATGCATATGGATGGGCATGTAGGTGTGTGTACAAGTGTACCTTGGCCACTCTTACAGCTGCACTGGCCTCGCGCAACCTGCTGTTCCATCAGCCCCGGAAGAGCTGGGCGTCGCGTTTACTCTCTCACAGTTTTTAATGCTTCAACACCATTTGCTTCTTGGATCAGGAACTGTTAGTGCCACACCTTATTGTCTATGGCTACAACCCAAGCTCTGATGCCAGGTGTTGGAGGACTTGCATGACCATGGCCCTCCCTCCCCCAACCTGCCAAGAAATCTCCCCACATTCCAGACCTGCCAGGAGGGAGAAGGGGGTATTGCTCCCTAGCTCTTTGCCTTAGCTCATGTGCCTCCCTCAGACTGATGTGTCCCACCCCATGGCTGCCCAGACCCTACCTGCCCTTGTGGAAATGCTAGTTGCCACCAAAGTTCAGCTCAGGTGCAGCCTTGTTCTATCCCATCTGGTATGCGGACAGGATGCAACCGAAGGCATTCTTGCCCTGGTACCCAGAGCTTGTCCTTGTCTTTTCACAGCTTCTATGTCGTCATGCCCTGGACTCCAGGCGAGCGTGGGAGTGCATGTTCCCTCCTCTGGCCTGCAAGCTCCTCCCCTTGATGGAGCTCAGTAGCTGTCCTCAGAGCACCTCAAATGGGGGAGCTTATACAGTGTTACTGGAAGAGACTTCCACACAGAACAGGATACACAGTGGCTGGGCCTTATGCTAATATCTTGGCTGGGTTTTCAGCTGTGCTAGTGTTTTGAGTAGCAGAAAGAGTCATCAAGGAGTCCTGATGGATAAGGTGAAGTCTTGGGAGTTACACCAGGACCCTGGATACTTAACCTCTCCTGAGCCCTGCAAGATGGTGATAAAGATATTAGCTTGGAGGCCACTGTTTCCCCCAAATGGCTGCCTATAATATAAGCATCTCCCATATGTGTGCTAGTTCACATCCCAGCTCCCTTTTAACACACCTGGGAAAATCAGCAGAAGATGCTCCAAGTGCTTGGCTCTCTGCTACCCATGTGGGAGACCTTGAACAAGCTTCTGGCTCTTGGTTTCAGCCTGACTCATCCCTGGGCCACTGTGGCCATCTGGAGAGTGAACCAATGGATGGAAGATCTCTCTCTCTTTGTCCTCTCTCTTTAACTTTTCCTTTCAAATAAATACATCTCTAAACAAATCTGAGTTCACTGAGAGGTTGTACAATTCACTGAGATAACCCAGCCCTTGGTGTATTATAGGGGTCCAGGCCACGATGGCTATGAGACCACTAAGGCAGAAGCACGGCAAGGTATCTGGGTGGGGTGGGGTGGTGTTGGGGGAGATCTAGGAGCCATCAAATTCTCCTGGGGCAGAGGTTCAAGTGTACTGTTAATACCTTTACGGTTGTGTTGGCCTCAAACTTGAACGCTTTGGTCTGTCCATTCTCCAGGTACAGCTTGAGCACATTGGGCATGCACAGCAGAGAATTACCCTGGAAAACATAAGAGTAGTGTCGTATGTCCCTGCCACACCCTTTTTGTGTCAGGTGTGACAAATCCTCAGCCACCCGACCCTGCCTGTTTTGATGAGCAGGGATTTCTCTAGTTCCCACTGCCCTCATGGGCCACAATTTGATAAGCCAGGAGACTTGTATGAGGCTGGGTCAAGAATACCTGAGCATCTTGATCTCTCTGCAGGTTTTTGGGGTGAGAGTTGGCTGGTGGGATGCTATTGCGGGTTCCATAGTGCAATATCACCAAAAGTAGTGAGATGTCCTTTTCCTCCACACGCTCCACCTGTCACCCCAGGTCTGAGAGAGCTCCTAGGAGACTCTGGCCCTCTCAGAGGGCTTTTTGGGAAGAAGTCCCAGGAGTGTCTTGCCTGGTGATTCTATGCCAGCCAGAATTCCCCAGGGAGGAGCAGGGCAGAATTTGAGAGAACCTCTTGCTCTTCCCCTGCCCCTCCCGCTCTCATAATCAGGAGCCCCTGAGTGATACGCTGCAGATAAGACCCTAGAGAAATTCTAGAGTCCCCAATACTTGAACTAGAACAGGCTCTGGTACTTATCCCAACAAACAGTTCAGGTGTCAAGCCCACCTGGGAATAGAGGTTTACCGTTTTCTAAAGACCCTGACAAGGCAGGTGTCTGGCTTAGTAGTTTAAGAGTCTACATCCCATATGGAAGGGCCTGGGTTTGATTTCCAGCTCTGCTTCTGACTCCAACTTCCTGCTGACGCCAACTCTGGGAGGCAGTGGCGATGACACAATAATTGTGCTCTTGCCACCCTCATGGGAGATTTGGACTGGGCTCCTGGCTCCTGACTCTGGCCCTGGCCTGGCCTTGGCCCAGCCCCAGCCATGCATGCATGTGGGAGGGAACCAGCAGGGAGCAGACCATCATCATTTTCCCAGCAAACAGAATTCATATCCACTAAGAACAAGTTGTCAATTCTTAATATTCTCCTTTGCATTTCTTTAACTGTGAGAAAAAGTTAAACATAGTTCCAATGTGGGCTTACTAGTTCAGATTCTTCCAGAGTAACTGTGCTTCCCTGGAGCCATCTTGTCATGTATAGAGGGGCAAGTCTGGAACCAGTTTAATCATCTTTTGAACTCTTGAAAGCAGGACAGACAGAAACCAATAATTGGCTCCCAGTGGCTTTGCTGCCTCAGCCTTTTGGAAATTGATTGAGACTCACAAATTCCCCTTGGGACTTAAATCTGAGAGCTTTCCAAGAGATATCCTTTTAGAAGCTTATTTCTCCAAATGCCTCAGCCCTACCCAAACTCTGAAACAGTGTCGTGGCTTGTGCTTATCTGATCTCAGTAAAGAGTCCAGGAAACATGGAGGGGGTCATGGTCACTTTAATAAATCATCCCCTACCATCCATGTCTCAAGTCTTTCTTGATTCATGCTTTAGAATTCACATTGGACTCTTCTAGAACAAAGCCACCTTTCTCAAGTCTAGTCAGAGGAAGGCTCAGTTGAGTAGCATGCCAGGTAGAAAATAAGGGCTGTGTGAATTTGGACCAGTTCACGTGGATCTTTTGCTAAAATGGTCATCAACCCTCACTGGCTGGGTCACAGCAAGAAGACCAGATAAACAAGTTTTGACTTGAAAGTTTCAAAATTTAAGACTGCTGGATACAGAATAGACATAGACTAGACACAGGCATTTTTCTCCTGTGTAATCTTACAAGGTAATATTTTTTAAAAAAATATTTATTTATTTATTGGAAAGTCAGATTTACAGAGAGGAAGATCTTCTATCCAATGATTCACTTCCCAAGTGAGTGCAACAGCCGATGCTATGCCGATCTGAAGCCAGGATCCAGGAACTTCTTCCAGGTATCCCACAGGGGTGCAGAGTCCCAAGGCTTTGGGCCATCCTCGACTGCTTTCCCAGGCCACAAGCAGGGAGCTGGATGGGAAGTGGATCTGCCAGGATTAGAACCAGCGCCCATATGGGATCCAGGCGTGTTCAAGGTGAGGACTTTAGCCGCTAGGCCACGCCGCCGGGCCTGAAGGTAATATTCTTAATCTTTCTAAGCCCTCACTGCTTCTTTTGTTAAAAGACCTCCCTTGGGCCCAGCATAGTAGCCTAGTGTCTAAAGTCCTCGCCTTGCATACGCCGGGACCCCATATGGACTCTGGTTTGTGTTCCAGCAGCTCTGCTTCCCATTCAGCTCCCTGCTTGTGGCCTGGGAAAGCAGTCGAGAACGACCCAAAGCTTTGGGCCCCTGCACCTAAGTAGGAGACCTGGAAGAGTCTCCAGGCTCCTGGTTTTGGATCGGCTCAACTCTAGCCATTATGGCCACTTGCGGGGGGGTGGTGGCGTGAATCAGCAGAGGGGTGATCTTCCTCTCTATATATCTGATTTTCCAATAAAAATAAATAAATCTTGAAACAAAAAGGATTATAAAATCTTAACAAAAAAAAAAGAAGAAAGAAAGAAAAGAAAAGAAAAAATGACTTCCCTTGAAGGGTACTGTGATGACTAGGGATGATGTAGACAAAGAAGTTCAGGTCACGTAACAGAGGTTCCATAGATGATGGGCTCTTCAAGACGCAATTCTCACTACAATCCCTATTATTATTAACAGTACTGATATTCATCACTATTATTGATATTAGGAGGGTATGCTCATAATGAGAAATCAGCTACTGAAAATACAGACATTTTCATAGGCAGGAGAATGGAGTCACAGGATACCAGGTCTCTCCAGGTTCGCAGCTAAGGCCTAGAGCCTCCACCGTATCCTGTGTACCTGGTCTGCAGGTGTCTTACCGATGGGGTACACAAACCCCCTTCCATTTCAGTAAATGCACTTCTCTCCCTCTGCATTCTCTCTGTACTGCAGAATCCTCAATTTTCAGGGAATTATGGGCCAGAAAGCAGCTCCCAGACTGCACCAAGAGTCAAAGTTTCCTCTCCTTCTGACGCACCTGACTGTGTCCGCTGACAAGCACTTCCTCCGCAAAGTGCACCTTCACGGGGTTGGTCTTCAGCCTGGCCCTCTTCTCCTCAGTCAGGAAGGAGGACTTGGGGACTCCCTGTAAAACACCAACAGGACACATTTTAGAACAGAAGCCACGTGTCACTTCTCATTTCTTAGAAACAAAACCAAAAAGCTGACCCACTGCTGTAGCATCAGTTAAAATCCCCAGAAAGTAGTGACATCCCATGAAAGCTTTGCTTTCCTAGGCTCCCAAACTAAACATTTCTTCTCACGTGTCTGAGGAGAGCTGACAATCCCCCAGGGCTGTGAAACAGCTACGATATGATAAAGGGAGCTGGAGAAGGAAAGGGGAGACCAGAACCCACGTTCGACTTCTCAGCAGTTGCTCAACCACAAATTTTTATGAGAGAAAGCATGTGTGTCAAACAACAATACAGGGTCCAGTGCGACAGCATATCGGTTAAGGTCCTCGCCGTGAACGCCTGGATCCCATATGGGCGCTGGTTCTAATCCTGGCAGATCCATTTCCCATCCAGCTCCCTGCTTGTGGCCTGGGAAAGCAGTCGAGGATGGCCCAAAGCCTTGGGACCCTGCACCCACGTGGGAGATTTGGAAAGAATTCCTGGCTCCTGGCTTTGGATCGGCATAGCATCGGCTGTTGCACTCACTTGGGAAGTGAATCATTGGACAGAAGATCTTCCTCTCTGTCTCTCCTCCTCTCTGTACATCTGCCTTTCCAATGAAAATAAATAAATCTTTAAAAAAATATAATAGCATGTGATTTCAACCTAGTCCTTATATCTCTCTTGCCTTCAGCTTCCTGCAGCTCTAACTCTTGCGGCTCATCATGGCTGTTTCCTTTTGGTTGCCATATTCTGCTTCCGCATATTTATAAAGATTTACCTCAGTTGACAAAATCATACAAAACCTTTGAACTAGATTGTATCATGCCAAACAGTGATGTTTGGTGAATGATGTCTTATATGATCTAAACCTATAAGATACAGTCTTGACTAGCTGAAGTCCTCATATGCCCAGCATCCTATGTTCCTTGATCCTTTAGGCCAGTGTCAATGATGTTTCCATGTTTACAAGGGTCCAATGGTGAAACTCTGGGCCACATTCTAGGTGGCTGAAGGAAGACATGTTTAACAGCCACTGGAGAGGCTTCTTGAAACAATGCTCACAGATTGGGATACCAGCAGATAAGCACCCTAAAATTTAGGAGATGAACAAATTGATCCCAGCATTTTAATGCAGAGAAAAAAGATATGTGTGATATTATGGGTAACTGGAACATCAATGCAATAAGATTTATGTCTATGATTCAGAGTCTCAAACACAATTTGCTTTGAAATAAATAATAAAAGTTTAGGAAAAGGATAAGAGAAATTAGCAATGTTCCCAGAGAAGAAGTGCACCTGTAGGAATTACTGTCTTTAAATCACAATGGATAAAAGGCATAAAGGATTGAGAAAGAGAAATTTACAATCAACTGAGACCATTTAGAAAGAGTCCAAGTTTCCTGCACCAGGTGACTTTAGGGGCATCACAGACATGTTACATTGAATAACTGGCAGCACTAAATAGAAAATGGAAGAAATATTAGGAGACTAAAGAAGGTCAAATATCACATTTCCCAGAAAACGAATACAGGAAATTCAGGCAAATTCTTATTGGCAAGCTTGTCATTAGCTCTCAGCAAAATCCAAGATAATGAGATAATCAGAACACTCTCAGCCATCATTAATAATCACTGGAGAGTTGCCACAAGCAAGTCAGAGGCAACCATGTTCACTTTTCTTTTGAAGACAAAGTTCCAGATTGGTAGGTGAGGGTCCTCTGGATATAGCAGTAAATACTTCTTCATTCTTGCAAGACCTCCTAGAATTCTCCTGTGGAGAAGGCCAGATGGAAGAGCCAGCAGGTGGGTTCAACACTACTGGACCTGTACTCAAAACAATTGTGATTTCTCACTAAGCAAGTCCCTGTGGCTCAGCCCTGATATTAGCAATGCCTTGGATGAATCAGATAAAGTGAATTTACCAAGCTAGTGATTGACAAGGGATGTTCAGGTGTTCAGCTCTTGGGCAGTAGGAATTGGGAGGCAGAGTGCCAGGAAATCACTAAGTCCAGAGGCAACAGAGGAACACAGGGTTGTCAAGAGCAGAAGGGAACAGGGCGTATTCAATAGCCAAGGCCACAGGTTCAACCATCATCCTTGAAACACTCACCAAAAGGAGAAATCGGGGAACAAAATGGAGGAACACTAGGGAGAGCAATCCCGTAAGAGCAAGCCCAGAGCTGGATCCCATTCATGCAAATTCACAACGCCAGGAACTGGGGGAGACTTGGGAAGAGAGGACTCCCTGCTAAGAAGAGAGAACAACGACAGCCGACAGCTGTACACACGGGCTCCTCTGCTCCACAGTTCCCTGACCATGAGCTCTCAGTGTGCCAGAATAGCAGGCCAAAGCAGTGTGCTTTTCACAGGGATTCATGCAAGGACCGAGGACCAAAGACACACACACACACACACGAGTGCACATGTGTAATCTGGAGCAAAAGAGAGAAGGAAGAATTTCAGGTTTCAGGTTTAACTCCTGGAAAGGGGCTGAACCTCTGTTAGGAGGGAGAATGATTAGAATAAATCATGGTGTGACCACACTGTTTTTGTAGCACTAGATTGAGCTAGCTTTGGATCTTCTGGCTGGAAGCAGAGCCATGGTAAGAGAAAAAGGCAAGTTACAGAGTAATACACATTATCCCATGAAAAATAAAACTTACCCCACACATTTATGGTGTGTCTGTATGTTTTTGTAGATGTGATACTTGTATGCATCTAAACAGCCATAAGGAATAACTAGGCTAGTAACACTATCTTGTGCAGTGGGATCTGGGAGAGGAGTTTGCAATCTTCTCTTCCTTTATTGCTGTTTATTGTGTTGTTTAATTTGTTACAAATGTATCTCTTATTTTTGTTATTAAGGCCATATAATAAGTAAAAAATTGAAATATAAAAAAGGAATTAGCTCTTGGATTTATCAATCTAATACTTTTGTGCTTTCTAAAACATCACTTACATCCTAATTTCTATTACTTCATTTATTCCATCTTATATTTGCATTATTAGTCTTATCTTCCAGCTTCTTGCATTGATTATGTGCTTCCTTAATCAATTAAAAGCTCTTGGACTATGAATTTTTCTCTGCACATAACATCAACTGCAAGTTTTAAGTTTTAAGAAGTAAAGGTCTAACTTGTAATTATTCTCTAAATAGTCCGTAATGGTAGATTTCCTTTTCTACTTGACTTTAACTTTACTTAGCAAGTTGTATTTTTACTTCCAAATGACTGGATGGTTTTAATTAAATTTTTGGTAGTTATCAGCTTCTGCTTTATTATATTTGAGAAAAAGCTTTCTTTTAAAAAAAAACTGGGAGAATTTATTGAATTTTCCTGGTGGCCTCGCATATAGCCAATTAAATTATTAAATGCCATTACTAACATTTTCTATGCTCCTAATTTTATTTTGGGGGTTTTTATTTATTTATTTAGTCTATTCATGGCCAAGTCTAGGAAATGTGTATCAGAAACCTCTCACAATGAGAATCGTCTGTCCACTCTTCCTTGTTGGTCACTTGTCTTCTCAAACTTTGGTGACCTTCTTCTCCCTGAAGAAGACACAAGGTTTCCTCGGCCCATGGTGGCTTAGGATGGCCGCTCCTGCCTGGGCAGCCTGGCTGTCATTCCTTGTCTTGTGGTAACTGTCAGATCTGATAGGACGTGTTCACATCCAACATCTCATGACAATCCATTAGATAGGTGAGACAGTTATTGTCATTGCCAAGGTCTTAACAACCTGTCTGACATCACAGCCCTCAACTCCCAGCCGGCCCTCTTGCCATCGCCCCACTCTGTGTAGTCTTCCTGGTCCATGAACCTGAAGGCCTGGGCTGTACCTGTTTCTGTCACAGCGTATATGCACCAGAGGACCTCAGGCCACCTACTGTCCTCTCTTTGCCCTCTGCTGTCACTCTCTGCCCTCTTGCCCTTCCTGCTTATTTTAGAAAGGCAATCTTCTTGGGGAGTTCAGGGTCTCAGGAGCAACACATAGGACACAGGAAGAGATTTACCGCTGTGCAGCGAACAACTGTGATGGAGAGAGAATCTTCAGCTTCCCTGAGGGAGAAAAAACAAAAAGAACAAAGACATTTAGTCCTTCCACGTGGCATGTGCACATGCATATCTGTGTATGTGTGACTGCCAGAAAGACCCACAGAATTCTTATCCGGCCTCCTCTTTCATATTAGCTTCTTTGGCTCAGCAGAACAGAAAAGGTCGGTGGGGAGAACAAGCAATCCACAGAGGAACCCTGGCTGGCCTGGAGTGCTGTTTCCACCTCAGGGGACTCTTCCAGATCCCCTCTCCATCATGTACCCTGCATCTGCCACCTCCAAATGAAGCTGTCTGCTTGGATGGAGAATGCAGCATTGAAACTAGTCAGGCATATCTCCAAAAAAGTTTTAAAGAGAAACCACGGCAATTACCCAGGCAAGCTGTTATTTCTAAAAACTGAGGCTAAACATTTCACCAAATAGTGGGTGCAAAAAGGAAGCCCATATAAGCAACAGCTTGAGTCTCTGTTGGAGTCATGGCTGCTGCACTTCCCATCCCGCTCCCTGCTGAGGCACCTGGGGAAGCAGTGGAAGGCGGCTCAAGTGCTTGGCCTCTGCCATCCACGTGGGAGATCTGGATGAAATTCCAGCTCCTCATTTTGACCTGTCTATGTGGCCATGTGGGGACAAGTTAGTGGTTGTAAGACATCTTTCTCTCTCTCCTTTTCTTTGTTTAACAATGTCTTTCAAATAAGTAAAAATGAAATATATGAAAATGGTTTTATCAAATAGAACAATTGCCCATTGACAACGTTTGTAAGGTGAAAATCTACCAGTGCATGCCATTTGCCACAATCAGTGCAATGGCCAAAGCACATAATGAACACACTTAATGACTGCAAAGTTCAAAAAGGGTAAAATTAATGGGATAACTGTGAAATATTCACTATACAGTAATGCACAAGATCGAAGAATTGATCCATAGTTTCCTGTCTCTTTGCCACTGCCATATAGAGAAGGAAGTGGCAAAACGATTTCATTTGATTTCCTACAAAGCAGTATTTTAGGTTTGCTGCTACTGAAGTGCTATTTTGTTGATTGGATCATTTCAACAGGAGTTTCTAAGTATCTGGGGATGGCTCTTTTCCATCTTCAGGAGAACGGTCCTTTTCTGGTCCCAGTCCTCTGAACAGGACATTTGCGCTTCACAGATCTATGAACAGATTAGAGAGGCTCTGAGGGGATTCTCACTGTGGTCATTTATGCTTTACCGGTGTTGTGGTAGAGCCAGTTAAGCAATAGCATCCCATATGAATGCCACCTCAAGTCCCACTTGCTCCACTTCTTATTCAGCTCCCTGCTAATGCACCTAGGAAAGCAATGAGAGATGACCTAAGTGTTTGGATCCCTGCTACCCATGTGAGAGGCCTAGATGAAGTTTCAGGCTCCTGCCTCCAGTCAGGTTCAGCTCCAGCTATTGCAGCCATTTGGGAAATGAACCAGTGGATAGAAAAAACTATTTCTGTCTCCCTACATGTCTTTGCAAATCTGCCTTTCAAATACATCTTGAAAAAAAAAAAAAAAAAGACAGGCTCCTTTTAGGACCTGGGGACTCAACTAAAACCAAACCAACAGTTCTTGGGTTTCTCACACACAACATGTGGACCAGGGCATAGGTGAGAAGCACAGCCACATACCCTGCTACAAGATGACACTGCAGTGTACTGCACTGGGCTGAGGACCCTCCATCATCTGAGCTGACCTGCCCAGGACTTCTGTCAAGGCCAATCAGTTGCTCAGCACCCCTGTCTGTTTTCCACTGCTCCCTCTTATGGTTCCCTGCTGCTTGCTCAGCCTGGGTTCCCCTCACCTTCCTCCTTAAGGGCCAGATTCCACCCTGCATAACAGGTGCAGCTGAAATACCTGTAGGCCCGTCTCTGCTTCAACAAACCACTGCTTCTTCCAGAGCTTGGGGGACTCCCACCTTCTCCATGCTCCCCGCCATCACCCCATGCAACCCACTGCTTCTTCAGCTGCATAGTCTGCCTGTCATTGCTCAGTGTTGAGTTCTGTCCAGGGGAGCCCAGAGTCAGTGCTCCGTGAACAGATGTCAATGGCTTCACGCTATAGATGCTCATATTTATTGGTCAAAGTGTGATCTAGCCTGATAGATCACTAGTGAGACTGAACATCTAAGATGTCCTGGCTGCGCAGGCAGGTGGAGAAGTGCAACGACTGCAGCCACAATGGTGGAGCCATCCTAAACAGAGAAGGCTGGGACTTAAACACCAGGCTCTCCTGTGTGCTCAATGGGATGCAGTCCTTCCTAGTGTCCTGCTGCTCCTCCATGTGCTATACCAACCCATGTGGTTCTGTAGGTGACAGAGGACTGTAGGTACCTGAGAATGTCCCCGGCTCGTTCACAGGAGAGGTCTTTGGCAGGCTCGTTGTTCAGCTGGAGGATCTGATCGCCAGGGAAAAGCTTGCCATGAGCAGAGCCTCCTGTTGGGCAGAAGAGAAGTAATGACATTCATGCCAGGAGGGCCCAGACCCCATGAATCCCAGCGGCATGGCTGGGTGGCATCCAGCACCAGGCCCCAGGGCCCTGGCACACCCGCCCCTCCCCTCAGCCAGAAGCAGGCTCACATGCTTCTCAGTGCTCCTGGTAATAAGCTATGGATGCCATGCCTTTCATCCATCAATGTCAAGGGATGTTAGGAGAAAGAAAACCAACAGAAACCTTCTAATCAACAGAGCTGACCAGCCCATCTATTATGGTCATTTCTGAAGAACTCTGTGTGTGTGTGTGTGCACATATGTGTGTGTATACATGTGTATGTGTGTGTCAAGTGAAATTAATCATATTATAAGTAGTTCTACATCTAACATCAATACCTAGTTCAAGTGCAAAAACAAACACACAGCCTCCTTTTCTCCACTCTGGCACAGTCCATATTTCACTCCAGCAGAAACAAATCGATAGCTTCCATCACTATCTGACCAGGAAGTCTCCCCGCGGGGAAGCATGCAAGGTAAAAGAAAGAAGGAAGAGGCAGCTTTTATAGCCCCGGAGGCTGGCCATGGGTGGTGGAGCTCAGGCTCCAGGGAGTCTGTGGGCTCAGAGCAGCAAGTGTACTTGGGGATCTCTGCTTCACAGAGTCAAAACCCAGCACAGAATCAGGTCAGAAGGAGGCGTGCCTTCACAAACTTCCTAGGGTAGTATCTTCTGCATCTTGTGGCAACACAGGGCGATGGGAAGAGAATCAGGGCCGTTCTCTCCTCTGGTAGAAACCAAACTCCTTTACCATTCCCCAGCTGGCCCCTACCTGCTGCGACGGCCACCACGGTGAGGGGGAGGCTCTCGGAAATGTGAAATCCATAGTCCTGGAGGAGGGCGTCCTTGTCTATCTTTACCGTGTGCCTCACGGGGGTGAGGGTCTGCGTTGGGGTTCCGGGGGCCCCGTCAGCTGCAGCGACTTTAGTTCTAGAAGAGACAAAGGCAGGGGTCTAGTTGGTGGCCACACACTGAGTCAGCTCCAAGCAGCACGGAGAAAGCCAGACATCAGCCCTTCCTGGAAGTGGATGAGACGCAACCGCCACCACAGTGACCCCAGCACAACCAAGCTCTGCAGGTGCACAGGGCAGCAGTGGGGAGAGAGTGGAGAGCAGCTTTAACTCTGCAGGGTGGGGCCGAGGATTTCAGGGATGCACTTGCCACCTGGGACAGGAGACACCTGCTTTTTGCACTTGGAGTGCTGGCCTGAACTCTGCCTACATGGCCCCAGCCTGGCACACAGCAGCCATTCAACAACCACTGCTGAGTGAATCAATGGCAGACTGAGGACAGTTGAGGCACCTGCGCCAGGGAAAACACCTGCAGCTAACAGGACCAAGCAGGGAGCAGCTGGGATGTTTGACGGTGGTAATCACGTAGGTGGGCTGCTTTGGAGGTGATTATGTTTTTTCTTTTACCATAAATTTGACTTCCCTTGCAACTCTGTTGACTGTGAGCATTCTAATATGAAGTCCCAGTCACAAGCACCACCCCTCTCCCACCCCTACAGAAGTTTACAAACCTGTACCGCTGTGTTGGAGATGTATCTCAAAGCAGGTGAGTTGTAAATTTAATGTTTTTAATCTCTCAAAAACCAGAGTTACAGCTATTTTTCATGAGTCTGTGGCAAATTTTTTTAAACTAAGATGTGTTTTTTAATTTGAAAGGCAGATTTACAGAGAGAGAGAAAGGAGAGACAGAGATAAATATATACAGAGATTTCCCTCCCACCCCCCAAAAGAGCAAACAGTGATGGGGTGGGGTGTTTACTTCCTTTATAAGCAGGAATAGCTGTGGGTGGTGAGCTGCCAGCATCTGTTCTCATCATTTTACCCAGCACTGTCAGGCACTCTGTCCAATGTGACACTTATCTGAAAATCACTCCTCTGTCATCCACAACGAGTCCCCCTTTCAGCCAAGATCAGGAACTACACCAAAGTGGCTTATGCCCAGGACCTGTGCAGTCCAAAGCCTTGTAACACCATCCTGGGAGGGCCCTGACTTGGAGCCATTCCCCCTTTCAGCCAAGATCAGGAACTACACCAAAGTGGCTTATGCCCAGGACCTGTGCAGTCCAAAGCCTTGTAACACCATCCTGGGAGGGCCCTGACTTGGAGCCATTCCCCCCCGCCACCGAGAGGCAGAGAGAGGATTTCTTCAAGGTGAGCCCTGTGTAAGGCTGAACAGGGCTGCATGGAGTCTTAGCCTGGGAGAGACCATAAAACTGGGAACATTTGCAGGAAGAAAACACACAGCCAGTCCCGACGAAAGAGAAAACGTGAAAACAATAAAAGGGCCTTCCTAACCAAAACACTCCACACTGGAAGCCAAAAATCAACATCTGTGTGCTATTCAAAAAGCAACAGAGTAAGTATACCCTGGGTACCACTTCCGTTTAATGCAGAAGGGGAAATGCTTACAACAGCTCTAGGGGGAGAGGGAGATAAAAAGAGTAACCACAAGAAATGCAAATGTGCCACCATACAATTCTTTTAAGCGGATAATAACATATACACCTAGAAAGTAATGAACAAAGACAATTTCTAGCTCTTGAAAAGGATAGGGTTATTGGAGTTGTAGGCCAAAACCACGAAAGCATTCATCACTTCATTAAAAATAGATGAGATGACTGTCCATTAGGTGCCAATCACTCTCAATGAGCTAATGCTAAACAACCAGAAAATGCCAAGGAAGGAGACAAGTAACCAAATTAGCAGTGTGCATTAATTTAATCCAGAGTAAGAGAGAGATTCATCCAAATAGAACCATGTAACTTTGATTGAGACAATAAAGGGAGACAGGAGTAGTTGGGCAATAGTGACTCTGGGTTTCTCGTTGCAAAGGCGAAGAACTGAAACAGAAGGGAGTTACACATGAAAACATGAGGGTGCCCATGAGATTCACGGATGATTGGCATGGAAGTTTAGGGGCAGGTGTAGTGCTCCAACAAGTTAAGCAGCTGCTTGCAATGCCTGTGTCCTAGCTTGGAGTGCAGGTGTAAGTCCTGGCTGCTCTGCTTCCAATCCAGCTTCCTGCTGAAACACCCTGGGAAGCACAGTATGATGGTTCCCGGGCTTGGGCCCTGTTATCCGTGAGGAATCAGGGATAGAGGTCTCAGCTCCTGGCTTCAACCTGACCCAGCTCTGCCTGTTGCAGGCATTTGGAGGGTGAAAAAAACAAATGGAAGATGTCTCTCCCTCTCTTTCTCTTTCTGTTGCTCGGATTATTGAATAGCTAATAAATAAATAAATAAATTTTTTAAAAAAAATATAAAGCTTATTTTGGAGCAAAAAAAAAAAAATCACAAAATCCACCCAACAGCTTTTTGCAATACACATTTTCCATTACCTTTTTTGGCATCCACTTAATAATTCAAACTATATTAAAAATTAAAATAAGTCACTTGAAAAAAGAAACAATTATATATATATATGCATATTTTCCATAATTAAAATACAAACTTCGAGTTCAAGTACTGGCTGCTTTGCTACCTATCCAGCTCCCTGCTAATGTGCCTGGGAAAGCAGCAAATGGTGCTTGGCCTCCATCACATACATGGGAGACCCGGATGGAGCTTCAGGTGTCTAGCTTTGGCCTGGCCATCGTGGCCATTTGGAGGAGTGAACCAGTGGGTAGAAGATATTTTCTTTCTCTGTTTCTCCTGCTTGCTCTTGCTCTCCTTCTTTCTCTCTTTCTTGCTTTCTCAGGCCATTAGCAGGGAGCTGGATGGGAAGCAGGTCCGCAGGGATTAGAACTGGCACCCGAATGGAATCCTGGCATGTGCAAGGTGAGGACTTTAACCACTAAGCTGTCGTGCCAGGCCCCAAAACTTTTTTTTTTAAGGTTAAACTCTTCAACTTTGTCCTGGCCAGTGGCCATCGGTTGGCTCCTCCTCCCACCCTTCAGTGTGAAACTATCTCTCCTGCTGTACCAGTTTTTCCTGCAGGCCTCAGCTGCCCAGAGCAGGAACGTGTGAGGCCACACCCACATCCAGGCTCAAAAGCCACCTCTTCGTTCTCTAAGTCCCTGGCTAGAAAGCATTCCCTCCTGTCAGGGCAGCTGCCCTCTCTCTTGGCCTTAGATTCCTGACCAGACTGACGCCACGTATCACTTCCCTCCTAGCTGGTAGGTCCCCTGCACACAGGAACTCTGTATTGTCCACCCCTGCACCTGTTCTCTGCCCACAGGAAGTATGGTGCTTAGTGTGTGAATAAGCACACGGGCTCTGGCACACAGGCCATGTGGCACCACTAAGAGAGTTGCTAACTCTATTATCACTGGCAAAAGTTGAACAGGCACAGAAACAACTCACAAGTAACTATCTGAATATCAGTGGCAGAGTCCAACATCACTACCCTTTACATTTGCTTAATGGAACAGCCAAGCTCAGCCCTGTGACGGTCATGCTAGGTAGGACTCACCCTCTCCATGTCCCAAAGCTCAGTCAATGACACCAGGAGGCGGGTGCTGGTAGCTCCAGCTGCAGTCCAGAAGATTAAGAATGACTTTAGAAAGACGGCCCTATTCCTGCCTCTTCCTCCACTGAGGGCCTTGGCCTGTGATTCTACCCTTTGAAACCACGAGTCATGGCATTCTGTCTCACTGGCGTTTTGTCTCCAGCCAAGTCATCTCCTTTGAGTTCCTAAAGTGCATGGGTCTTGGAGTAAGATCTTCCCTCGTTCTAACCTTGCTCCCCGACTCCAGCCACACACAGCACTCTGGAGACCTCCCCAGCCCACCTAGCCATGCATGTTATATGACCAGCTGCCCAGTCTTCTTGCCTTGGTGGTAGTCTCTCTATCCACTCGAAACACCTACAGAACCTTGTTAAAACACTCATCTTACTCCTAATAACCAGCACGGTCTTGTGTCCCCTCCAGACTGTGATCAGTGAAGCCAGAACTGCCTATCTCCTGTCCCTTGTCCCCCAACTCAGGGCCAGCCACAGAGGAAGCTTTCATAATCATTCAGAGGACAAAGCCCTGTGGCCACAGGATATCAACAGACTCTACCCCAATGCTTTTCAAACAGGTGGGCATCAGCCGCCTAAACCTTCCTGCGTGGAAGCACATGAGCCCTGAACACAGCATACAAAGAGGCCTCACTGCATGCAGACTGAATCCTCAGATAGTGTCAGTGGCTTTGGGCCAGTCTGGATTTGACATTTCACCCCCAAAGGCCATGTTCAAGCTTTTGTTTGGGAAGGGATTACTTAAATCAACGTCCACAGGCAGCTTCTCTGCATGCAGGGAACACTTCCCAGTGGGCTTCCACGCTGAAGAAAACCATCTCCGAAACAAACTTGTCCTTGGAAGCATCCAAGAAACCTCAGCTAAAACACTGATCTGAAACACCTGCTTACTAAGCCCAGTGCAGTAGCCTAGTGGCTAAATCCTCACCTTGTCCCTGCTGCTCTACTTCCCATCCAGCTCTATGTACTATGGCACAAGTTAGCCCACCATATAGAGCATCCACATCCTCTATGGGAATGTCCTAGCTACTCTGCTTCTGATCTGGCCTCCTGCTAATGTGTCTAAGAAGGCAGCCGGTGATGGCCCATGTTCTCGGGGTGCCTGCCTTGAGAGCTCTGGGTTCCTGGCTTCAGCTTAGCCCTGCTCCAGGTGTTGTGGGCATTAGGGGAGTGAACCAGTGAGTGGAAGCTCTCTCTCTCTGTGCCTTTCAGAAAAATAAATTAAAAAAAAATACTGTGGAGCTCTGTGGGAGAGATTAATTCAGAACACTTACAGGAGACTCAGCACTTCAGGCATTCGATCCTTTGATGGGGGAAGGAAGGCATGAACCAAGCTCTTCCACCGTTTGCCAGGGGAGGGGGAGAGTGGGTGGAGCTCCAGATCTGGAGCTGGCAGAAAGGAGTGTGGCACAAGAGCTGGGGGTCTGAGTGGTGGAGGGGAAGAGACAGAGCTAGCAGGAGGAGGCCAATGAGGAGTCTGTTAGGAACAAACAGCTGCACAGGATCATGGGTCGATCTAAAAGAGCCTGGAGCAGCTTTGGCTCCATTGTCAGAACTGCAGACTTGGCGAAGCCTTCTGAGGGGGCTGTAGGGAGTCCTAGATGACTCATTCTTTGAGTCTCAGATGCTTCATGTGTGAAATGGTGCTCAGTCTACTCCCCAGCCTTCCCCTGCTTTCCCCTGGGAGGATCCAGGCACTTGGCTCCGGGGCCGAGCAGTCCTGGCTGAAGTTCATTACTCAGCAGCTGAACAGCTGTTTGCAAGTTCCTAAGAAAGGCTGTGTGATTTCAGAAACACCTGACACGTGAGATTTCCACCCTGCAGAGGAAGCAGACGGGAAACTCGAGATGGCAAGTGAACTCCTGGGAACAGAACATATTTTGAAGTTCTCTTGTCTCAGCCCCATCAGATGTGTATTTGATTTCATCTCATTTGGTTTAGAATGAAACGGGGACTGGCAACAAAGGACAGAACCAGGAGCTGTGCTGACTCCCAGCAGGGCTGCATGCGTGTGTGTGTGTGTGTGTGTGTGTGACAGAGGGTCTGTACTCACAGCGTGTTCTCCCATGTATAGATTGTGGGTCTGCAAATGCCTGTGTAAGTTTTGGGAGGAGTGTGTTTGTGGATGCGTGCTGAGGAATCTCAGCTAACTTATTTATGCACTTCTGCCATACTGTGTGAAGAACAAAGCTAGCCTGCACCCTCTCCTCCCACGGGGACACCAAATGTTTCCTCGATAGACATCTCTGCCAGTACCCCTGGGGAGGGATGCGGTGGGGGGAGCTTACCGGGCTGAGCTGTCCCGCGAGCGCCGAAGCCATCTTGCCACCATCTGCTCTAAGCGGCGTGCTTTCCGTGTCTGCAGGACACTGCTTTCCAGCTCTTCCATTTACCTGAAAGAAAGAAGATCCTTAAGCAGCCAACTGACTTGGGCAAGAAAATTCTGACACCTTGGGGTGACGCACAGCTTGTATCTGCTCCATTTAAGGAGTATGCTGATAAACAAGAGTTCTTCTACCTAAAATCATAGGAACAGGCCCCTCCCCAGGGCTCTGTGCCCATCGAGCGAGCAGCTGCAGCAACTCTAAGGAGACCACAGTCATGTGTCTTAAACAACTAAACCTAAGAATGGAAGAAGAGGAGAGGCAAGTTTTCCTGAATTCCATGACTGTATCTCATAGTCAGAAGTGCACCTGGCTGGGCAGTACTGCCCCTTACACCCAGCCCCATGTCCCTGGGCAGGGCAGTTCTGCCAGCGTCAGGGATGTACAGGGACAGCTTTGCAATCTCCCTAAGTCTATGGGTGCTGCTGCTTCTGCTCAGTATTTTTTTTTTTTAGATTTATTTTATTTTTATTGGAAAGGCAGATATACAGAGAGGAGAGACAGAGAAGAAGATCTTCCGTCTGATGATTCACTCCCCAAGTGAGCGCAATGGGCCGATACTATGCCGATCCGAAGCCAGGAGCCTCTTCCGGGTCTCCCACGCGGGTGCAGGGTCCAAAGGCTTTGGGCAGTCCTCGACTGCTTTCCCGGGCCACAGGCAGGGAGCTGGATGGGAAGCGGGGCTGCCGGGATTAGAACCGGCGCCCATATGGGATCCCGGGCGTGCAAGGTGAGGACCTTAACCACTGCACCATCGCGCCGGGCCCTGCTCAGTATTTTATATCTGATTTTTGAAGAGGTCATTTACTTGTTCATTCCACACCAGCCTGTAACAAAGGTGCATGGTGGCTGTGTTATGCACATAAAGTTTGTTAAGAAGAGCAAATCTCATATTAGGTGTTCTTATCCCTACAGGGAAAAATAAAGAAAGGGGATGGGAGGAGAGACAGGTCTCTCCTCTATCCTTACTTGCTCCCAGCTCCCATTTCCACACAGAATCACTGCTTTTATTCTCTATTTGTTCTTCCAGGATTTATACTTAGGCAAGCAAATATATATATATGGATTTTTACCTCTGTTTTTACACAAACAGTAGTATATTGTATACTTTATTTGACATTACATTTTCCTTAATATACAACTTCTATACGTTTCCATATCGATACATAGAATCTTTTTTTTTTCCCTAAATATATTTTATTTATTTGAAGGATGGAGTTTGCCCATATGGTCTGCCAGCACTGCAACTGGGAGCCTAACTCACTATGCCACAATGTCAGGCCTCTTCATTCTTTTTAAACAACTATTCCTTTGTGGAGCATATCAAAATTTAAGAAGTATTTCTCTGTTGATAGATAGGCAGGCTGTTGCCAACCTTTGGCTATTATAAACAATATTGCAAAGAGTTATATCATGCATATGTCATTTCTGCATAAAGGAGTTATGTATCTGGATAAGTTCCCAAGTATTAAATTGCTAGGTTAAAAGTTACATGCAGCTTTTATGGATAGTATCAGTTACTAAGAAGATATACATGTGCTTGAGATAACTGTCTCATATATCAATGTGTATTGATATTTTTCTTTTATAGTCCATCTCAACTTTTAAAACCATTAGTCTCACTCCACCAAATTAATTTCACAACCCAATAAATAACCATGCAAAATAAGACACTGAGAAATGAACATGAGCCCAGAGCAATAAGAGACTGAGTGATTTAGAACACAAATAGACTTGAAAGCCTTGATGACATGGGTAGTTTTCAACTAAAATATAAATGACGAAAGATGACTCTAGCAGAGCTGAAAATCTAAAATGATAATCAGAAAGCAAGTTCATTAAAGGGCTTACTTCCTTTTATAGCTCGTCCAGGTATAAAACAGGTTCACAAGCCAGGCACAAACAGGTTCAGAGGTGAATTTATATAAATCTGTAACATGCAACTCACTCTAATGGATTTGTTTTGTTTTAGATAATTTTTTTTTAAATTTTGGCACAGCCTTAACTGTAGAAAATGATGAAAGATAACACAGAGCTCCAAGATCCCTTACCTCAATTGTCCTTAACGTTAACACCTTATAGAACCATTAGATTTTGTCAAAATTAAGGAACTGGGGTCCGGCACAAAGGCTCAACAGGTTAATCCTCCACCTGTAAGTGCTAGTACCTTATATGGACACTGGTTCGTGTCCCAACTGCTCCATTTCCCTTCTAGCTCCCTGCTTGTGGCCTGGGAAAGCAGTGGAGGATGGCCCAAAGCCTTGGGATCCTATATCCTTGTGGAATACCACCTTAAAGAAGCTCCTGGCTTCAGATCAGCTCAGTTCTGGCTGTTGTGGCCATCTGGGGAATAAACCAGCGAATGGAAGATATTGCTGTGTCTCTCTTCTCTTTAATTCTCCTTTCAAATAAAAACAAATCTTTAAAAAAAATCTAAAAAACTGACACCGGTCCCGCAATATTATGGTGTCTGTGTGGCTTCCCAAAGTTTTCCTATTGTGAAAGTTTTACAACAAACACCCTTATTCATGACAAATTATCACTTTTCAGGTATTTTCTTTGGATAGGTTCCTAGAAGTCAAATGAGTGGATTTAACGCTATGTTCATCTTTAACAATTTTGATGTATACTGTGAAATTATTTCCAAGAAAATACCTTCAGATCCTCATGGAATTGGGCAATTTCTATCGTCACGAGGGTAAATGGTCTGAAGTTCCATATGTGAAGACTTTTTGGAATCTTCGCTCCTGCCCTTCCCTATGCTCCCCCTGTTCCAGGACTCAGGTTCTCCTGGCCAAGGATAAGCCCTCCCCATCTCCCAAGGATCTCTTGGACTTGACACCTAACCACACCTTTTCCGAGCTGCCAGAACCTTTAGGACTCATCCCGACTGTCTCTTCTCTTCCCCTACCTCCTCTTTCAGCTTCCCTACCGTTCTTTCTCTGAGCCTTCGGCCCATCCGCCTCTGTACGTTACCCCTCCAGTCCCTCCGCCATATTCCGAGGTTACCTCTTTGGTCACTTCTTCTCTGCTCCCGGTTTACAGACTCCCTCTTCACTTCCTGAGTTGCTGCTGGATTCCAATGTCTCCTTTGCTTCACCTTCTATTCATCCACCATGGTTCCCAAACTCTTCTCCCACTCCTCCCTTGTTCTATCTGCTCCCATCCCTTGCCCCACCTTATTCCACCTAATCCCTTTGCTCAGGGACTTCCGACCTCTCTACCTCTCATTTTCCCCGGTTCACCCTCCCCCACTCAGAACCTTCCTCCTCCATATCCTTCACTTCCTGCGCAGATACCATATTCCCAAGCCCCTTCTCTCCACTTCCTGTCCTGACACCATCTTCCCAGCTCTCCTTCCCTCCCCCATCCGCCATCTTGTCTGTCTCCTCCACGTGCGTGATAGAATCCCGTCCGCCATCTTGCCTTTCGCCATTTTCACCCACTGCCTAACCTGCTCTCCCTTTTGGGTTCTTCTGACTTACCCCCCAATATTGTCTGTTTCTCTGTTGGCTGCTGCTGCAGCAACTGGTTTTAACTCTTTTTTTCCTTTCTTCATCCCCACCCCCACCCCTTAGCTGAGAGGGGCAGGGTAAAAGATAAGCTAACTAACCTCTATTAAAAAAAAAAAAAAAGAAAAAACCTGTTACTTACTAAGTTTGTTCTGTAACTTAATTTAACATTTGTATATCAAAGTAATCCAGTGTAGAGTTGCTCTAATCCACTGCTAAATTATTCCAAGCCATGAGGTAAACTCATGTGTTCTTACCAATTGTTTTACAGAAGAGTTCCAGGTTAAAGCATGTTGCAGAAGCAATGGGAAGTCATGAAGCTTTGAGAGGAATACATCCTGTATAGTTTATGTGCAATGCAATTGTTTATTGTCCTTAAAATTGTCTATAGAATTTTCTAAATATTTATCATTGATATTACTGCTTTTTCTAATGTACAATATTGGTTCATTGTAAACTTGGGCTTGTTTCAAATTTGTAGCAGACATCAGACTTTTGGCAAATGTTTTCTAGAACATGTATTTGAGAGTTTTTACTTCATGATGCTACATAATTAATCTGGTGTTTCCAACTCCTTTCTTCACCCCTCTCTTTCTCTCTCTCTGACACTGAGGGACTCAGGCTGCACAGTTTGATCTCCAGACCTTAAAGGGATGACTAACTTGTCAGACCAAGGAGCCTCCTTCTCAGGTCAGCTCTCCTCTCTCTCTATCCAGGTAATGGGAGTCAATGGGATGTCTCCCCAGTTTCACACTTCCTTTATGATGTCTCTTCCAGTACCCTACATGAAGAGATAGATGGTCCTGGACCTTACATGCACCTGGCCAACTGTTGAATTTGGGTAACAGCAGAACTTTCCTGGGTGCATCTAGACTTGAAATTCCAGTGTCCATGTGTGTAAGAGCTTAGAAACAGTTTTTACTATCTGGCACTATATCCTTGAAGGCCACTGTCTGTCTACTGGAGCCCTGGCCTTACCATAGGCCCTGACTTAGCTCCTGCTAGCAGCCAGAGTCCCCATGAGCAATGGGAGGGAAAGAATACAGGATTAGAAGCAGACCAGACTACATATCCTGTCTGTTTCTCAAGGCCTCACTAGATAATCTTAACCAGTTTTCATGCATGTTCCTGCCTAAGCCTCCCCACTAACTCCATACAACAAAAGGCCGGGATATCGGGGCTGAGTAGAAGTATCCCCAGTTCCCTGCCAAAGTCAAAGGGACACTCCATCCAAGAATGACTGGAATGCAGAGTCTGCACAGAAGGTCAACATCTGCTATGATGATCCATCCGTCACCACAGAGGCACTCCAAAGAAGCTCCTCAAGGCCAATCTTCAGAGACTACATATTCCAATGAGCTTCAGGAGGAATTCATTTTTGATAAATAACCCCTCCCTCCATTCCTGTGTTATCCACTCAAATGTACAATTTTTTTCTAACCAAACCATTAACCAGTTTCTTTTGCAGGGCTAGGAGCCTGCCATTCTTCCCC